TGAGTTACCTATAATCTTGTTTCCCAGATTATTGACAAGTCCCTTAACTACTCTTCCAGCTTCCACCTTGATCAGCACAATTTGCAGGACACTGTTTATGTGAATCCATATGCTGTGCAGCACCATGGACTTGACCTTCTCCCCAACTCTACTACTTGCCTGGTGATGCTTTTCAAATAGTTTTCCAAAGTACCATGTAGTTCTGAATGTGTCACTATCTGCAGCGTTGCGACTAGACCCAAAAAGAAACCAGAAATATCGCCATCCAGTGGAGGTAAAAGGAATACCCTGTTTAAAGGATGGGAGCTAAATTTGGTGAAACAGAGAAGGAGTAGCTATCTCGTATGGAACTAACCCAGGCTAGGAACACAAAACAGTACCAGCAGTGTTCCCTCAGTACAAAGAATTTACAATACGACAGAGGGCGAGAATCCTGTGAGTATGTATCTATGATATGCTAGTACATAGGAGAAGCCATGAGAGATTCTCCTTATAGCTCATTGATAACTTGTGACTAAAGTGATTAGGGACAGTATTGTGGCAGAAGTGACATTTGAGCTGGCCCTTTAAAAATAAGTAGGGTTTTTTTGTTTTGTTTTGTTTTGTTTTCTGCCTACAAAGAGGTGAGGGGAGAGCAAGCCTAGCAAAGAGAATAGCTCAAACTAACCCATGCAAAGTTGGCCAGTAGGTCAGAGAATAATGCATAGCTCCTGTAGGCTGCTTACATAGGATGCCTGGGGACAGACAGCAGGACTAAGTTTGGGCCAGATTGTTCAGGACATTGAATGGCCTTGAATTTGATGTTGCTGGAATATGTCAGATCACTGAAAAACATATATAATCCCAGGGACAAGCAGTTGTCTGTCTGGTGCTCTGAGGGCTATTTGCCCCTTATTTGTTTGAGAGAGAGAGAGAGAGAGAGAGAGAGAGACCTGAGCTGCCAGGACCTCAGAGTCATCTTGATATTGCATCCTTATTCCGGCCCTCTGCCAGGGTGTGCTCATTTGGGATTCTTCAGTGTAACTGAGGTGGCCCCAGGGGGCTATGCAAGGTCTTAGAGCATCAGTGGACAGAGTGGCAGCAAGAGACAGTGTGGGCCCTATTTGCATGATCAGTGTGTGGTATGATTTCCCAGCTGGCCTGAAAGGTCAGCCAGGGAATTTTGTTTGTGAAACTGGAAAGAAGCATAAGTTGCTGACTATTTCTTTCTTAATTCTTTCACCCTTCTACCCTGGGACTGAAAGTTGGGTTATGCTTCTTGCCAGGAGCTTTCCTTCCTTGTCAACTGACTGCCTCTCTTTCTTCCCTTCTGAAAGAGAAGGGATGGATTTCTTGGCTGTACTTCTGATAGTTTCTGAAAGGCCTTCAAGTTTTCACTGGCAGAGGCAGCTTCAGTGTGACTTACACAACATGATATGACTTGTGTGTCAGGACTTTGCCCCCAGGTCCCCTGGGAAACACACTCTAACAGTCCCTGCTGTCCCCTCGGAGGCCCCTGCATTGAGGAAGCAAAGGGTGATAGAGTCAGAACCATTTGTGTGAGGTAGCATACATGGCCAGTTTGAGTGGCTTCCCATTCCCTATGTAGCCAGGCCATTAGGAGGAGGTGACAGATGCCTCCTCATTGATCCAGACCAGTTTAGAAAATGCTGCGTGATGAGCACCTAGCCAGATGTCCCATGGGGAGGATTCATTTCTGAAAGACTTTGTCCTTCTCCATGGCTGCCTTTCAAAAAGATCCTGCACTCTTTCTCCTTATATTCTGTTCCTGATGGTGGGATTAGCAGGGGACCTTCACGACAGCAGAATGTTGATACCTCTGACCCAGCCCATCAGAACAGCAGACACTGATCTGTTGGCTGGAAATGTTCCTGGGCTTTGATTGGAATAGACTAGAGAACTTGCACACACCCACATTGTGGAGGAGCCCAACCCTGGATCTTTGTAAAAGCAAAGTGTACTATGCAAGTCAGAAGAGCATCTGCTAGAGGGCCAGGGATGTAGCTCAGTGGTGGAGAGAGAGAGGCCCTATGATCAATCTTCAGCACCCTGCATAAAGAGACAGAGAATCAGTTAGTATTGGATGACCTGTGTAAAACTTCCAACTCTGCATCTCTTGACTGTGAACTGGGGCAAACTATATTCAGAGCATCAGTTTCTACATCTGTTAAACAGGCCACTGTTTGCCCTCACTTCACAGTGCTGTTGGAAGTACTAGACAAGATAATGCACAGATAGGGAGCTCGGTGCACTCAATAAGGGGTGAACAGGTTATTATTAAGGTGATGGTTCTGCCAGGATTGCTTGGCACTGATTAATTGAAAGGGGAGAATGGTCCAGAAAGTAGAACCCCAAATGCTTCCAACTACTGCGGCTCCCACAAACATCCCAGGCAGCTGTCATAAAATGGCATTTACACAGATGCTAACTTAACATAATATTAATTTTAGGATGTCATCCCCAGGCCTCGGTGACTTCTCACTCATGACCGGCACATTGCTTTACAGAGGCAGTCTTCTCTATGACTTCAAGGTTGACGTCAGGAGGTTGGTTGTGGTCAGCTATCAGAGGGTTATTCATTTTACACATATACCACATTAGCACACACTTTAAATGGTCTCATTAGTTTTTCTGCTGATAGTCAGCTTTGAAATTATTGCTCTGGCTGTGCAGCCCCTGAGGACATGGGCTATCATTATTTTTAGGGATAATCCATAGATCTCACCCATAAATCTAAGACAGCTGCTATCTGGGCTTTTTCTGTGGTTCCTTTGCCCTGTTAGATTGGATCCATTTTGCTATTCCACTGGGGAAAATGTAAGCAGGGTAACACAATTGCACAAATTCAGGAAGAAAGCTGGTGCACAGGCAAAAAGAACCAGGTGCAAGTGTGGACCACAACCTTTAGAGCAGTCAGCGGTATGACTCGGTTCAAAGGACTGACACTGATCGATGCTGAGTGTGTGGGCACCTGTGTCTTATGCTCAGCCTGGTTAGTCCTCCAAAGAAGAAACATTAGGTAATAGAGAGACTTGATGTATATTACAAAATGTCGAAGGAGAATTACTAAAGGGCACCTCTGGGTGTATCTCAGTAACTCCTTCTAGCCGAGTGCCAGAATGTTACATTTTAAAATTTGCTCTCCTGGGGATTTGGCTCAGTGGTTCCACCACCTGCCTCACAAAAGCAAGGGCCTGGGGTTCGATCCCAAAAAACAAAAACAAATGAACAAACAAACAAGTTTGTTTTGCTCTCTCAGAGCCTTTATTTCTTAAGGTTTTTAAAACAATGATCTCATATGCTTTGATTGTTGAAGCTGTGCAAGATACCGTGCTGAGCACACTGGAGGCAAAGTGCATGTATAGCCCGGGTGCCCACTCCTTTATCAGAGATTGAAGGAGGACCTTGGTGGAGCTGGTAGGTAGAATTCTCTCATAGCCTCCCTTGGATCCTGCTAGAGAGGCCATGGTTAGATAGCCTGAAAAATGTTTCTTTCTCTTTTTCTTTTGGGTTGGTGCCCAAAGAAAAGGGACTTACTCCTTCAGACGGTCCATGAGTGATAGGGTTGAGGTCATGGTCCCATTTGTCAGAATCAGACTTCCCATTCGAAGTCTTCCCAAGTCGAAGAGTTTGAGGGTTGTTCTGATACTTCACTACATCTTGTCTACAGCCATCGTCCATGAAAAAGGATCCCTGCCTAACCATAAGGCTCTGTTCCAGCAGACAGCTGTGCAAACTCTGTGTATGTGGGTCTCACTAGCAAACCAATAATGGTAAACCTCAGTTGTGGGGACTTTCAGAGGATAGCCACCTAGCCTCTGTAAAGCAATGTGCCAGTCATGAGTGAGAAGTCACTGAGGCCTGAGGATGACATCCTAAAATCAATATTGTGTTGTTAGCCCCTGCGTAGATGACATTTTGTGACAGCTGCCTGGGATGTTTGTGGGAGCTGCAGCAGTTGGGAGCACTAGGGGTTCTGCTTTCTGGACCATTCTCCTCCTTTCAATTAATCAGTGCCAACACTAATCAAGCAAGCATAGGCATTTTTCCAAGACAGTTTTTCACATAGGTGTCAATTAGCATCCATCCTCCCTGATGGATTATGAACTCCAAGAGCTCAGATCTCCTCATCGCAATGGGCTCAGCACAGAATCCAGCACCCAACAAGCACTTACTGAATATCTGTGAATGAAGGAATTATAGTTACACATAAACATGCTCTGAATTAAGAACTTTGAGCTGAATCATCCTCTTGTAGTTGTGTGTTTAAAAATGGTAAAAGTGCTTATTGTACATTATTAAACAAAGAAAACAAGCTACAGAACATTATGTACTTATAATTCCAGTTTTGCAGGAGACAGAAATCATGACAGAGGAAGAGGTCAGGAGAGACAGCAAGAGATAAATGGGCCTTCAAAGAGCTGGGAGATTCAGAGGAAACTAACCAGAAATATTAATAGTGATTGTCATAGCTTGGTAATGAGGTATTTTCTCCTGTATCTCTTCGTATTCTTCAAAAATTGTATAGTGAACATATATTAGAAAAAATTTTATTAAAATTATTAACATCCCAAATATTTTGAAACACATCTTATTGCAACTTGGCAAAGCAAATGTCACCTTTTTGCAAGAACCTTTCATCAATTGCAATCTTCTTATCTATGCATTCTTCTTTCCTCTGAGGGCTGAAATTTGTATTTTAACTTGGAGAACGAGATGAGGGGGAAAGAATAACTCACAAAACTACTAGTAATCTGGAGGCTGAATATTCTCCAAGCAAGCAGATCTCTTTGGGGGAAGTAAGGAATAATTGTACTGAATGAAGAGGCGAGCTGAGGTCAGCATTAAATAGATGTGTTGCTTTTCTCAGAGTTGGCTGAAAAGATCAAGTGACTTCCTCTACTGAGAAGTTACAATTCGATGATTAACAGAATTTCCTCACAGCTTTGCAGGCTTCAATTCTTATTCTCCCAAGTGCTGGCCTCATTGCTCTCTCTCCTCTCCAGGGAGCAACTGTCAGAATTGCATTTCCCAGGGAGAAATGGCGGAGTTGCAATTCACTGGTGAGGCTTGATATTAAGGGTGGGGGCTGGGGAGGGACTGGAGACAGAAGAGGGAAAGGAGAAGCATCCGAAAAGGAGAAGAGTCACAGCTGCAGCTCCAAAGGTTTTATAATTTTGTTGATATTCCTTTTACTGTTTGAAAATCCCCCATCCCTCAGTGATCATTAGATTCTGTAGCTATTCTGAAATCATATGGGAAAAGGTATGTAACTTTTTTCATTAAACATGCTCTAATTTCAAAGCATTTCTGCATTAAACTCATTGTTTAAATGTAGTAACCATCTAATCCTACATGCTTTTGCACACTATCCTGCTCTTGGTGTATGAGGTCTTATTTATTTGGTTCTTCTTTGTGTAGTTTTGTATTATAATCTACCTCCCTACCTATTGTAACCCACCTTAAATACTCTTTTGAGATGCACTATGGTATAAATTCATTCATTATGTTTTTTCTAGGGTAAGGTAAAAAGGATAAACTGCTATAACAAGTGTGTCCCTTTCTTTATTACATATACTTCCAATGTCAACAGTCTAGGCTGACGGCTAAGGAGGAGACTGTGCCTCATGAATCCCTGAACTTTTACTTATTTATTTACAAGATCTCACTAAATATTCCAGGCTGATAAACTCATGATTCTTCTGCCTCAGTCTCCCAAGTAGCTGTGATGATAGGCCTGCATTTCTGTTTCCAGCTTGAATTCCTTCTTTCTGTGTGTGTGCGGAGCATCCCATTTTGTTGGCAGGTCATCTAGTAGGGTTAGGTCACTGCATGGCTCACTGTGTTCTGTGCATATGTCTACAATTCATTTGGTGGGAAGGAGAGACAGAGGAAATCCAGAGGAAGCTGCTTATCTTTTCTTTTCTTATATTTCAGAGCAGCTTTAGATTCACAGCAAAATTGAGCAGAAAGTATAGCAAGAGGTTACATATCCCCTAAACTTTTCCATATACAACCTTCCTCACCAGCAACACCTCACATTCATGGGATGATTTTTATAATCAGTGAAACTATGTGGACATATCGTTCCTCTCTGAAGTTCATAATTCATACTTGGCTTCACTCTAAATAGCTGGATATTCAATGGGTCTTACAGATGCATGACGTGTATGTACATAGTATTTTACCGAACCATTTCACTGCCCCCAAAACGCTCTGTGCTCTGCCTGTTTGTCCCCGTCACCCCGCAACCCTTAGTGAGTATGGATCTTCTGGTGAGCGAAGTTGTGTATGGGAAAGACCACCCCATGGCTCATTTCCATACAGAGGAGGAGGAGCTTCCCTATCAGTTCCTGCTCTCTCCCTCTCTCTCTCCCTCAACTGCTTATAGTGCAGAGGGAGGAGTGAATTCTGATTAGTAACTCTGGGGAAAATAACCTGAGTGTGCGACTTCAGCTTTCTTCCTTTCCTGGTGGGAGCCAGCTACTGACATAAACCATGCTTTTGCCTGGTTCTGTGATTCACACTGAAGAAGTACTTTGTCTACAGAGGGAAGCATTTTCTACAACATTGCTTTAATGCGTGATTAAAGGGGTATATTGATCTTTCATGTGAGGTCCTGCTTATTAATCATTTCAGCACTCTGTTAGGGAAGAAAGGTGCAATACAGGGGACTTTCAAGAATTCCACCATAAGGGGAATATAAAGGGCGAAGTGGGGAGGGCAGAAAGTGTGGTTTGACAGATTTAGAAGAGCTAGGTCAAGGAAAGCCTTAATCTTAAAAGCAGTATAGAAGATCCTTTTGAATTTAGTAATAAATTGGAAAGTGACCCACTCAGAATTGCATCCTGCACTGGTTCAGATATGGTTTGAGTGTGTACCCACAGAGTTCATATGTTGGCTTGGTCCTTAGTATAGCAATGTGGGATGTGCTGGAACCTTTTAATGATGGGCTTGGTGAGAGGTCCTTAGGTCCCTGATGGAGCTACCTGCCGAAGGGATTAAAGTGATTCTAGTGAAACTCCTGAGTTCTCATGAGAGTAAGTTGTTACAAGAGTGACAGTGCTCCAGGTTCTTGTTTTGGTGACTTGGTCTCTTTCTCCTGTGGGAACTCTTGTCACTACACTATCTGCTGTTGCCCTCACTATTGGCCAGACCAAAGGTGCTGCCCAATCTTGGATTTACAGCTTCCAAAAGTATGATCTAAGTAGACATCTTCCTCTTCTTTCTTTTTTAAAAAGAAATTTGTATATTTATTTATCCATCCTGTGCTGCTGAGGATTAAACCCAGGACCTTACATACACTAGGCAAGTGCTTACCAGTGAGTTAAACCTTAGCAACACCACTTTGCTTTACAAAATCAGCCTGATATTTTATTTTAGTAACAGAATACAGACTAATACACTTTCTCTGCCAACAGTGTAAAGCATGTATAGAGAGGGAAGAAGAGGGATATAAATGAGACCAGAGCAAGGAGACCAACCTAAAAGCAACTGAAGTAGATTAGACCAGGAAGCTAAGAGCTGAGCTCATTCAGAGGAGAAAACAGAAGATAACTCAATCAGGAATATGGTCAGGAAATAATAGAAATAGGGTTTAATGACCAATTGTAGTGGGGTAAATTAGAAAGAATACTCTGTTTTGTGTTGTTTTTTTACTTGTTTTCTGACTTTGGTAACAGAGGGAATTATAATGGCTGATACAGAGAGAGGAAGGAAAGGAAAATGATCCAAACATGGGGATGTGAGGCAATGGTGTGTTTAGTTTGGACAGTATTCGCTTCCGTGTGCAATTTCCAGAGAAGAAGTCTAGCAGATTATAAATTGGGCAAGTCTGAAATCAGGCAGCAATGTTGGTTTCAGAGATTTAGATACGAGAGTCATCAGCATGGGGAGATGAGCATTACAGTTGTAACATGTGCTGGAAAGTGTCCAAAAACAAATCAATGGACCAAAAAAGAAACCCTTAGGAAACTTTTAGGTGGCTGGTGTCTGTGTGCTTCCACAACATCCTGACATCTCTGGAGCCTGGAGTGGATATGTTCCTACAACATCCCTGAGTCCACCACTTTGGCCAGAAGTTTTGTTCTGCCCAACCCAGTTAAGGAGACTGAATCCATACAGAGGTTGGAAAGAAGGTGAACAAGCCAATTGCCAGAGATCAGTAGGGCCAGTTCTTTCCATGGTGTACTTTGCCAGCAACCAGTGGAAGGTGACCTCCAAAAACCTTATTTTAATTGTAAATGAGTAGACATTAAGTACTGAGAAAAGATTTGATGAGAGAAGGTCCTTTTGGTTAGGGCTGACAAGTTCACGGTTCTTAGAAAAAATCCTATTTGAATCTAAGCTACAGTCATCAAAAAGACAGCCATGGCTAAAAGTCAATATGAAATTTAAGAAAAGGAAAACTTCAGGAAGAAAAGAATTATTGTGACCCTGTAAATGGTCCTCTGGATTAATGCCATTGAGATTGCTCCATGTTTGCTGTGACTGCAGAGTACTAATTAATAAGTAAAAATAAAATCCTGATTTCCAAGGGGGGAAAAAGAATTGAGGAAATAAAGACTGCAACTGAAGGTGCTATTTTAAATATTCTTGGCTGAGAAGTACAGGAGAAGTCAACAGACTTGCACATTAACAGGTAAATCTTGATGTATTTATAGTCTGAGGGCAATGAACTAAAAGAAAGCAAGAGAATAAATTTATAGAAGAAAGAGGATTATAGATGGAGCGAAGTTCCAAGGGTGAAAGTCGATAATGAGTAAAAAGCTGAGATGGAAGGTGGGATGGGATTCTATATGTGTCAGAGTGAACTAGGAAAGCATCTTGAACAGAAAAGATACCTTCTTCCTTGGAATCCTTAAATGAGGGAAATGAGATAGGGATTTCTTGGTTGCTGATGGAGGTGCAAGAATTTCAGGCTAATGGTCTCAGTTTTCTTGATGAGAGACAGGGCAAGGCCACGTGCTGAGAGACAACTGGGCTGGATGGGAAGGTTTGGCATGAACACTGAGAGGAACAGAAGAGCAGGTGCCAACTAAAAAGTGATTTAGAGAAGAGAGGGAGACCAAATAATCTTGCAGACTAGGAGACAGTGGAAAGAGCAAGGAATTGTACAGTATTCTATGAAATACTAACAGTGGCAGTGGTGCTTGAGAGCAAAGGGAAGGGAAATATATTTCAGTTAGTTCCAAAGTGGTAACTAACTCTTGGGCATTTTAGGTCAGTTTTCATAGTTGCATTGTGATGCGTGTTACTATTTCACTCTTTTGTAGATAGACAAAGTGAAACTCACAAAAATGGTGACTTGGTTCAGACAAGCAGCAAAGGCAGAACTTAAAACTAGATATATAGACTCCAGGCTTCACATAGATATTGAGTGATATTTAAAGAATTGCTGATCTAAAGTAAGGAATAAAAATATGTACCTTGGGTTGATTTTTCCAGGAGTGGCCACGAATCTTCTCCTTTCTCTTCTACTTGTGACCATAATCACAGTGAAATCAGTGGCATGCCAGCATGATGTTGCCCTCAAGGTGAGCCTTGGCTTTCTAAGATTTAATCTACCACACAGCCTTCCTAGGTCTACACACACCCCATGCTCAGTCGCAGCTCCATACCTCTGTACCTGCTGCCTTTCTTCCTGGAATATCCCCTCTTGATCATCCCATGGCCAACTCCTACATCTTTCATATCCCCCTAGCAACCTTTTTCCTGAGGGCAGAGCTAAGTGCCCTAGTTTGTGCTTCTACTCATACCTTGGGCTCATCCTTCATTCTGTCACATTAGAATTTTTGCCTACACATGTTTCCCTCACTAGAACAGAAGTTCCTCACAGGTAAGCACTGTACCTTATGTGTTTTGTGTCTCCATACAAAGTGCTCAGAACAGTGCTTGGTGTAAATATGGGTTAGTAACCTGCAAATACAGGAAATATAACTGCCCCTTTGGGTGTATCTTAGTGGAAACCAGCCACAAGCATCAATTAAGTTGCCACACAATTAGTCTCATTGTTCTTTGGCTGAAATAATAAGATGTGGCAGAAACATTGAGATGCAGATAAGTAGGAAAATATTTCTTCCTTTCCCTGAGACTTGTCTTCCTTTTCATCTTCAAGTGTATAGTATTTTAATACATCCAGAAATTAACTACATTCTTCTACTGTACTACTACTACTTTTCTGGTCCAGGCCAACAACCTTTCTTGTATAGATTATTACAGCAGCCCTCTAACTGATTTCCCTGCATTCCCCTTCCTAGAATACAGCTTATTCCCCATACCTAGATCATGCATCACAGTGACTCTGATACAGTGTAAGACCATGTTCCTTCTCTGCTCCATCACTTGCAGTGGCTCCCATATCATTCCATGAGAAACCCAAAGTCCTTTCAAATCTTTCCAGTGCTCTGCACCATCTTGCCCTTGTTAACTCTAACTCCACCTCTTCTCAGCTCCGTGGGCATCTCCACCATTCTAAACCCACACCCACCTCAGAAGTATGCATCATATCCCTTGCCTGGAATTCTCCCCCAGCCAGCTCCATTATTACTCTTTTCTCCCCTCCCACTCTTTGTTCAGGCATCTCCTTCTTGGCAAGGCAGCCCTGATACCTTATGAAACATTGCCACATCTTACTCCTTCCCTTCTTATTACCTATCCATTTTTCTGCTTTATTTTCTTTTCAGTGCTCGATGTTAGCTAGAATATCACATGTTTTACGCATCTATCTTGTCTATTTTATGCCTGTCATAGGAGGGCAATGATTGAGATCCCTTGCTCATTTCTGTATCCTTCATACCCAGAACAATGTGTGGCTCAGTGTAGGCACTCAATGAGAATTTATTGACTGAGTTGTGATTGAAAGCTACTTCTTATTCCTGGTTAAAATGCAGGGCTCCAAAATTGCTCTTTGTTTAATTAGCGTATGTTCCTTTCAAAAGGACAGAATTTTTACACTTCATGTCTATTGATCAATGCAAAGTGATGGCCCTCAGAGCTTACTGCATCTATACTGTGAGTTGTCTACTCCCTTTGTGCCTGATCATCTCAGACTTCCCACACTGCAGTGTTTCCCTTCTCACTCCCTCTACTCCCTCATTTAACCTTGCCTCAGGAAAACCTCATCACTCCTGGAGAAATTCTTCTTTACCATTGCATCTGCTGATTTAATCTTCACTTTTTAATCAGCTCTAAGGAGGTGGGGGTGGAAGTGGAAAATGTACTCAAACCATCATACATCATTTTATGGAAGAAAGGGCCTGACATTTTCATTGGCAAATCAATCCTGCAGCTCTGAGACTGGAAAAGATCTAAGTATCCATCGTCATACCTACCTTCTCGAATTTTTTGCAAAAGCCATTGTAGTGCCTTAGTGGAAAATATAAAATTATTGTTAAAGCATTTGTAGTACCACAGGGCATGGAATTGGAGTATAAGTGAACAACCCTGGAGACACGTAGGCAGGAGGTGGACTCTAAGGTCAGGCCAGCTTGAGGATGAATTTTGTATTGATCACTAAGCTAACTGAGTGACCTTGTGAAAATTAGTGTTAAAGGAAAAAAAACATAAAACAAGAAGAAAAATTTAAAAAGAAGTCCTAGGGTATTTATAAGTGCATATATACAAACAAGAACATAATGGCTGGGTAGACCAGGCGTGGTGGCACATACCTGTAATTCTAGCACTCGGGAGGCAGAGGTGGGAGGATTGCTGTGAATTCGAGACCAGCCTGGGCTGCACGGTGAGTTCCAGGTCAGTCTCAACTACATAGTGAGACCCTGTCTCAAAAAACCAAAAAAGAAAAAGAAAATAAGGGCTGGGGATATAGCTATAGCTCACTGGTGCCATCTCCTGCCTTTGCAAGCACAAGGTACTGAGTACGATCCCTGGTACCAAAAAATGAAAGAAAGAAAATAATAAATGTTTATACTCAATATGCATAAGTAAACAAATATACGCTGGCATGGTGGCACATGTCTATAGTCCCGGCTACTTGGGAGGCAGAAGAATTGCACATTTGAGTCAAGGCTGGGCAACTTAGTGAGGTCCTATCTCAAAATAAAAATAAAAAGGGCTGAAAATGACAATAATAATATTTGCTAACACTTAATAGGCATTGTCTATATCATATACATCAGGCAATCAGAAGAGCCCTGCATGTATCAACTCATTAACAGTAAGTGATTACTGCTTTCACTCAAGGTTATAACTTTTGTCATGTTTTATTTATTTATTTATTTATTTATTTATTTATTTATTTATTTATTTATTTATTCATGGTACCAGGGATTGAAATCAAGTCCTTGCACTTGCAAGGCAGGCCACCGAACCACTGAGCTAAATCCCCGGCCCCCTTATCATGTTTTAAAGGCCTAGGAGGGACATGATAAATAGCTTTTCCCTCCTGATAGAGCCATTATTTTGTTATTAAAGCCAGTGAGGTACATCACTAAGTCAGTTTGAATAGTTGATGTTAACTCTGCTAAGGAGAGAACAACAGGTAAGGAGGAAGAGACCAAATAGGAATCGTGGAGGTCAGTCAGTAAGAGGAGGCAGCCTGTTACCCTCAAGCACCTTCTTACAAGCTCTGGACACTGAAGTTCATTCTCAGGCCTTGCACAGAGTCTGCCTTTTACCACAGCACATGTGATGATTAGGATAGGGGAGGGAGGGCAAAAAGGGGACATAGAGTATTTGGGGCAGTGTTGCTAACATTTTGTTATTTGTAAGTACACAACTCTCCAAAAGTATAGGTGGGAGGTAGAGAAAGATGCAATTTTAATCTGAAAAACACAATGAAACACAAACAAAAACCACAACAGATCAAATTGACCTAGCCAAGTAAGAGGCTTGATTGGAATGGAGCAATGAATTTGATGATGTTGGCAGTTAGCTTTCCATTACTGTAACAAATACTTAAGATAATCAACTTGAAGTGAGGAAAGGTTTGTTTTTGCTCACAGTTTCAGAGGTTCTAGTCCACAGTCAAGAGGACCCATTGCTTCTGATCCTTGTGATGAGACAGAATATCATTGTGAGGAACCTGTTGTGGAACACATTGCTCACCTAAGGGCCAGTTGGCAGCAAAGAAAGAGGATGAAGACACAGAGAGTACCACAGTCCCCTTCAAGGGCATACACCTAACAACCTCACTTTTTCCCACTAAACCCACCTCTCAAGGGCGTTGGACAGGCTGGGGACCAAGCCTTTAATACATAGACCTTCCGGGGACATTTAACTTAACCAAAACAACAGTGTTGTCAAAGTTTTTTTTAAAAAAGTTTCATTTACATTTTTTTTGACTACAAGGAATGTATAATTGTTACTTCCAGGAACACTAAAGAAAATGTATCAAGAGGTAATTTTGGAGACTATGACTATTGCAATTTATTATAAAGAAACAAAAACTATATATTAGAGATGCCTCTAGCTGCTGAATATATAGAGGATTCCTAACATAAAGATATCTGAGGTATCGCAGTTTTCTATACTGAAAGGAGGTGATGAGCCAATTACAAAGAATAGGGCAAATTACTCGAATTGGTACCAAACCTACACTTCAGTTTGAATCAATAACACATCAATATCTAAATTGTTGAACAGGTACATTCTTTCTAAGAGCACTTTTGGAGGAGCTCCTTGTATTCTGGGAGACAGCAGGAGAAGGAAGATCACATTTCTTAGGCAGTGCCTCTTATTCTCAAACTCTCTACCATCTCTTCCTCTTTTATTCATTCAGCTCCCAGATCCGTATCCAGGACTTTCCAGCCTTAAACCCTCCCACTTTATGCAGTGATTTCTCCCTCCCTCTTCCTTTAGTTGTTACCTACTCATCCTCACAGTCTGGATTAAATACCGCCCATTAAGAGAGGTTGTTCTGAACCACTCTCTCCAAAGGAGGGTGCCCCACCATGGCCTAACTCACAGTGTGCTGATTGTTTTGTAGAGCATCTATGTATTTGTTTTTCTGTTAATTTGTTCTCCCTATGAGACTGTAAGGTAGCCTAAGCTAAGCTGGTCTAAGCTACCCTCAGCTAGTCTAGGCTAAACTAGGCAGAAGCCATGGCTGTCTCATTTCTCATGATGGCATCTGCATCTAGCACAGAGACTGAGACCAAGTAGAAACTTAATAAATATCAGATTGTTACGTTTGGTCCAAAGCTGCCTCTGAACATACTTCACGTTCGCTTTAGAGGTTTCTCCCTTCATAATGGACTCTAACCTAATTTTGTGTGTAAAGATTGGAATCTACTCCTTTAACAAGTAGCTAATTGTTCAAATCATGTTCAAATAAGGCAGACAGTAGCTGTAACCAATAACCCTGTCTCTGTACAGTACGTCACTTCCTTTTTTCTGCCAATAAATAAAAACTAGCTCATGAGGTGGATGGAGCAGGGCATTTTGAACCATGTTTTGGTTCAAATAGTCCCCCAATTCTAGAAGCACAAATAAAACCAATTAAGTTCTGCAAAACTAGATTTGTTATGATTTTTCTCCTTATGGTTCAACTAAGAGTGAAATTTTTTCTTTTAATGTG